TGACCCGAGTACTTCTCCCACCTCTGGTTAATAAAGAAAAAAGGTATGAAAATCAAAGCCAACACAGAAAAGAATAGAAGATGTGAGCGGAAGCTGCTGAGAAATTCATTTGACCCCTGTATTAAAGGGAAAAGCAGCGTGTGACGAAAACACTGCACACAAAGTTTTTAAAAGCAACATAGCCCAGAGCAAACAAAGGCGGCGGAAAAAAGGATTAAAAATCCAGCATTTTTATAAAAAAAAGTACAGTCTCAAGTCACACACATCTTTTTCTCGCTGTTTGTAAGAAAAAAGATTGCGACAGATGTCAGCCAAAATCAGCTTAAAGTAATGGCCATGAATTTAGCTCCTGCTGCTTTCTGTTGTGTGTCAAGTGGTGGCATCAAATGAAGCCGCTCGCTGTCACCAGAGCTTCACCGCTTGTTTTCTGAGGCAGTCAAACTCACAAAGCAGAGCAACATTTCACCTTGCTCCCTGCTTGAACACAGAGGCAGAGAGTGTGCAGTGCAACCAACCAAAAAGGCTCAGTACAACATTCTTAAATTAGGTGTGAGCCGAAAAAGAAAGAGAGTGTCAAATTGGTTGTATGTCAGGGTTGGAGGAAACTGTTTGCTCAAACTGGAGAGGGTTTTGTTCCATAGCGCAATTGACTTTTGACCGCTTTTGTTTCTCTTTGACAAAGTTTAACATCATGCTGACAGTACAAACAATAATTTAGACTACTTTTTATAGAGTGCAAGTGTAATTTTCCCTAACAGGCAACGCACTTCAACATCTCTGCTTCCAGATCATTGCACACTTAACGGAGAGCCGAACGAAAGTAATGCAGCGATTTTCTCCGAGTTCATACGAGTCTCATATTCGAACTAAGTCAGCACTGACAACACGTACCATGACCGCAACATGTCATATACTGTACCTCTACTCATAATGTCCCAACATTTTTGATCTTTTGAAGTTGCATTACTTGTTTCCTGAGTTATAGTGATGTGCATTTGTTGTTAACATATCCTGAAGGTTGCCATGTCAGAGTTTCTAAGTTTAGAAGCGAGTCAGGTCTAATAGTCAGGTGTTGTTGACAGGACAAAAGTAACAGATGTTTATTTCATATGCTTTCGCCCCGTGGTCAAACTGTATGTGTGTAGCGGCATTAATTAAACATGATTAGTCATATTTCACCAACAGAATACATAGGGAAGCATGGGTGCTGTGTGTCTTTGGTCTGCACTGTTCCCATGAGGAGAACAAAAGTTGGTAGAGTAAAACATTTGTATTATATCCTGTAAAGTTGTTTGAATCTAAAGCACTTATTAACAGTTCCTACTGTTGTAAAACATTTGATGAAAGTAAATAATGCGTTTGCAATAACATATTGACGGACATTTTTCTTAAAAACGTCAACATTTGTTTCACAGTTTAAAAAAATAACACCTGGTGCAGAAGACACGTGTGAGATTACAATGAGAGATGTTACAACACTAGTCTGTTACATTATGTTTCAAAATGAAGTTTATCTGAAAAGTGTAACTTCCGTACTTGCCTCCCCCTGCCGTCTGCCTCCCGTTCCTGAGCGGATTAACACGCCGCTGCAATATTGATTTGCGTCCGCATAAAGCCTCCCCAGCTCTATATATTACACCACATTCAGCAGTCATCTATTCAATCAAATCTAATATTACACTGCCTCTCCACACAGCTGTCTAATAGTATTTAACTCACAGTTTGATTCCCGCATTCCCTCATGTACTTCAAACGCTTGCCTGCAATATCCTTCATTCGTTTCTACTATGCCAAGAAGAAGTCTTTTGAAAAGCACGGAGGATGAATGAGCGTGTGTGTGTGCGTGTGCGTGTGCGTGTGCAAAGAACAGATTAGCTGTGGCCTAAGGCTTAAGGTATGGAGTGGAGTGTATTTTAGAAGCTTCTAATTTAGCTGGGAAATGGGATTTTGAGACAATGGACTGGAAAAAACTCAAATGAAAGGATGCACTCGCAGCACTCCTTCATTTGCCTTCCCTCACGCTCGCTTTTTCTGGCCTTTTTTTCTCATCTCTCCCTCTCCCCCCTCTCCTCTCTATCTACTCTGCATCTCACCTTGTGTATTTCTCTGTCAGCATCTGCCCTCCCTCCTCCCACTCGCCGTTTCTCTCTCTCTCTCCCCCTCTGTCCATATTACAGTTGACAGCGATGATGTAAGAACGTGAGTGTAAACAGTAGTATGAGGCTAACCTCACTTTGACCCACTTAAAACGGAAATCCCCTCGAGCACACACACACACACACACACACACACACACACACACACACACACACACACACACACACACACACACACACACACACACACACACACACACACACACTACAGACTCATATGCCTGAGTAAATATTGGACTTGGGTCAGCAGCCTCTATTCTGTTCTCATTTCACTGTGTGAGCAACTGTCTGTCCATGTGTGCATTTTTCATCTGTGAACAGAACTGTGCACGTGTGTGTGTACATGTGTGTGCATCACTATTTTGTCCTCCTCTGGCCCCCCTCCTTCCCGGGGCCTTTATTTACCTGTGGAGGTGTGTGTGTGTTTCTGAGCCGGGTTTCAGCTTCAAACAAGACTTCCGACCATGTAATAAAAGCCCGACGTTTGGCGTGCGTCCAACCTTCCCTTGATAAACACAGGGGTGTGTGTGTGTGTGTGTGTGTGTGTGTGTGTGTGTGTGTGTGTGTGTGTGTGTGTGTGTGTGTGTGTGTGTGTGTGTGTGTGTGTGTGTGTGTGTGTGTGTGTGTGTGTGTGTGTGTGTGTGTGTGTGTGTGTGTGTGTGGTGTGTGTGTGTGTGTGTGGTGTGTGTGTGTGTGTGTGTGTGTGTGTGTGTGTGTGTGTGTTGTGTGTGTGTGTGTGTGTGTGTGTGTGTGTGTGTTGTGTGTGTGTGTGTGTGTGTGTGTGTCTGTGTGTGTGTGTGTGTACAAACACAGGGCTTGCCCAGGGCCCTGACGAGGAAACTAGCGTGGCTTTTGCTTTTAAAATAGCACCTCGGTCCTTTGCTGCGCTCCTGTTGTTAAGAGGCTCTGCACCCACACACTTATTGTATGATACGTGATCCAGATATCAAATCACATCTGGGTGAACAGGGTTTCCTCTGTCTTATGACAAGGTTAAGGAGATGTTGCTGGTTCAATTAAATAACAGAGCTGTTGTTGCAAGGTTATTGCTCGTTGTTTTTATTTATTTGACTGACTTTTTTCTGTGATTTTTAATGAAAATTATGAAGGGAGTCCAGATCTCTGAAAAAGGTGACACACATGAAACATTACAATAAGACAATTCAGTCAAACAAAGTAGCATTACATGCAATCATTTTAAGTAAGTGAGGAATTTTGTATAAACTTTTTTTGCGTACTTGCTTAACATTCAGCTTTACATTTTATTAAATTAATACATTAATACAAATCTCCAGATTGTGTGTGATTTGGATTTTCTTTTCTTGCCAAAATCAGGTAACTTTTTCTCAATTAAAAACTGAGATATATTTATTAGATATAATTAGAACTTTTTTTACCTACATAAATATCACACATTTTAGAATATTTCATTGCATTTTATATACATGTATGTTCTCTGACGTGTTCTACGTGTTTCCTACAAACAAAATGAGAAACTATCAGTGAACTATCTATTCACTGATAAACTCAAATCATGATATCCTAAAGGACTCGAGGTCTCAGTGAATATAAATATGAGACAGAAAAGCTGTTAGTTAATATTCAGTGACCTAGCGATGAACAGCAGTTTTAGTTGTCCACATAAACTGAATAATTTCAGGAAACAAAGTTATTTAACATTTTCTTGTATTTTTTTAATTATTGCTTTACTGATTTAATTGGCTATTAATTGAAATATGGATTTGAAAGAGGGACTACTCTAGGGCAATTAAGGTCAATACATTCCCTTCTCTTAATACTGGAGGATTGAATACATTCACTTTTTGTCTGTGTGTGCTCAGCTGCTAATGCATCATGCAAATATATGTAAAGTAAGTGTGTCTAAAATATCAGATTTCATAAAGAATATACAAAAGTACGGGATTGGTATCATTCGCCCTGGAAGCACAAATTGCGACACCTTTAATGCTCTAATAATAGATCAATTTCCCATGATACATCTCTTGCAGTGAAGGATAATCTTCAGCTATAAAATGATATCACCTAGCTGACAGGGATACTGCCCACCTACTACAGTATAATCTCACAACAGATAAGGAATCAAACTGTAGGGGAAAATGGATTTTGGAAGTTAAAACTTGAACACACCTGGTATGTGTGTGTGTGACATGTACACGTGGCAGTGTGTGTATGTGTGTCTGGTTGTGTGTTCAAGCACTCGTGTGTGTGTGTGTGATCTCTTGCCGCGTGTCGCCGATCAGTTATCGCTAATCCTTCCACACAGAGCTCTTTAACAAGTTGCCATTGTGCTGTCGACGCTTAACATGATGGAGGAACGACCTCCGTGGTGAAAGAAAAGAAGAGCGAGAGAAAAAGAGGGGGAGATACAGAGGCAGGCAGAGGGAGAGGGCAACACCTCCGACAATAGGGAGAAAATTGGTTTACACTAGATAGGCTTGTGATTACAGAGAGAAAGAAAATGACTTAGATTGAACAATAGGAAGGAGTGTGTGTATTGGTGTGTGTGTGTCTGTGTGTGTGTCTGTATGTGTGTGTGTGTGTTTTTCTTTTTTTTTCAAGGATTAGTGGGTAGTCGGGCCCGGATATCGTTGAAATGAATTGGTGGTGTGCTGATGTTTGCGTGTTCAGAGGTTTTTGTACTGTCGTGTGTGTGTTTATGACACTATATGACATATCTAATCAAGAATCCCTTACAGAACTTACAAATATTGTGAAGAAAAAGTCAAATGAATCCTATGAATTTATTTATAAATAGAAGTGGCTTGTCCCAAAACAACAACATGACACTTTGCCGACCCGCGCTCTCTGTCTGTTTGTGTGTAGGAGGCCCAGCAGGAGACGTATGGCCCTAGGGGTCCAGCCCCAGGGAACTCTGGGAAGGCCAACAACGAGGATGGCGTCCCCCAGGACCGCCCATCTAGTCTCCCGGTGAGTGACAGCTCTGAGAGACCTCATCAAGCCTCAAAGAAACAGTTGTTTCCTTGTCTGTCTTCACTTCCTGTATTTTTGTTGTAAGCTTTTCTGTCCAATCACATTCCTCCGCTCGCCTACAGCTTTTATCTCTGGTCCCATGAGAGACATGGATTAAATTGCTCATTTCAGAGTGTATGTCTGTGTTTTGACTGGCGTCCATGCCCAAGGCGAAAAGGCCACATGCATCAGCCTGTGGTCGGAGCATCCTGCTCTCACTCACACGTACACCCCCACACACACAGAAGCATATGCACGGACACAGACATTATTGCTAATGCGCGCGGTCACACACGCAAACCCACTCGCAGTTGGCATTTAGGCGAGCTAAAAAATCTTTAAGCAGGTTGACTGGAGGAGTAATTGAGAAGAAATGGCGAGGCCAGGCTGATCTATGAGGGGAGAGAGGAGTGGGCCGCTCCAGTTTTTTGGCTAAACTAATCGTTTTTTACTCTCCATCATTTCTCCCCTCACAGCTCCGCAGCACTTTCAAGAATAGAATAAATAGACATTTGCAAATGGTCGCAAATATTGGCACTGCTTGAGGTGTGTGCCGTTTAATTTAGCAGATACTTTGGAAGAGCCCCAGGAGTGGAGGAATAAACTGCTAGAAAGGATAAATTAGGTGTATGAACTGAAATTAAGCCACCCTATTTTCCCATAGACTGCTACTGATACATAGGTCTGTGTTTATTGGTCGTATAAAGTACGATGACAGTTGATTCGTATTAGATTCAAATCAGCGGCTGATTTATGTGTCATATTTCTAACTGATTCCTTTTTGTCTATCTCGCTCATTCACACCGTCTCTCCATCTTTCTCAGTTGTTCCCGCCTTAACAGCAGTGTGTCATCCGTTTTATCTTGGCATTTTTTCTCCCTTTATTTTCTTTCATTATCATTCTCCCACACTCTTTACCCTCCCACCCCCCCTCTCTGTCTTTCCCTCTAAAGTAGCATCATGAAAGCTTTTCTTCTACCCTCGTGCTATAATGAGAAATGGCCTTGATGTATCAGTGTGTGGATCCGGAGCGAGAGAGCACGGCGAGGCGCGGGGGCCGATCTATTTGAACCGCAGCCGATATCACCCCATATTCCCTCACCCCTTTAATCCTGGCGTTTTACCCCTTGGGTTCTCCGTGTGTTTTTCGCATCCCATCCAAAGCGCATGGCTTACCGAGATCCTAATCGGCGGCAAGTTTTGATGAGAGAGAGACACGCAGAGCGAGAGATGGATAGATAGAAGGGAGAGGAGAGAGAAATTGCTCTGCGTTTGCCAGGCTCTTCCAGCAAGCTGTCACGGCAGAGATGTAACCGCGTTTTTTCCCCCTCTCTCTTTCTCACTCTCTCGCCGGCGTTTGATGTCAGATCTAAAGCTGCTGTCATCTTTTCTCTCCCCTTTCTCTCTGTCAGGAGGGAGGGAGCGCGGGTCGGCAAAGTGTCATGTTGTTGTTTTGGGACGAGTCTGCTGTGTGATGTGGCTGGATTTTTGAAGGGAGACCAAAGGGAAAAAGTGCTTTAGTAACTTATCACAAATGCAAGTCACAGCGTCCCATGGGTCTTTTAAAATGAAATCTATTGGAGATACAGCATGGCGTGCATTCCATATCACTGTACAGTATCTGTGTCTTTAACACTGCCTATAGTATAAAATCCATGCTCAATTAGTAATGCACTCAGCACTAGCTTGTTTTTTAGCATTAGCATTGCTGTTCTACATTTCCATGTAGCTTTGGCTCTGATGCTAACATTTATGTACTCAATTATGGCATTAAATGATGTTGGTTGTTTTCACAGTCCTTCTCCGTATTAAGGAATCAATGAGGGAGTGGTGTTTTCATTGCATACCTTCCAGTTTTAACAGCTTCTCATGTTCAAAAAGTTGTATATTTTGTATCTACTGGCAGCTTTGTCAGTTTATCATTTTAAAATAAACTGGCATTCTCCCTCTGATTTTCAAAAAAGGGTTAGCATTTACAGTTTAGTGAGTTTTTGAAAAAAGCTTTTTGTTTTTGTTTGCTGAAACTGTCACTATATCCAAACCGGAGTGCATTAGATCGATAATCCTATACATATAAACACTATTATATCTATAATATAGATATTATCTTATAGATAGATACAAGACTATCTGGCCATCATGTTGAAAACAGATGAGCCAAAACCAAGCAGCTCCCAATGACTGGGTCATGAATGTTATCATTTTCTAATCAAGCTGTATACTAAAATATCTCTGAAAACATGATGCAAGAAACAGACAATGCAGTAAGAGAATGTTGATATTTGATCAGCACTGCCTAGTTTGACAGTTAGTGATGAAATATGTTGTTACTAAATGTAGCTCCAACAATATTCGTGTTTCCCTTACAGTGTTTTCATCCTCTTTAGACTTGCCCTAATATAGCTGAGCCTGTGCTCCAGTGCCATAGAATAGTGGAGTCAAGAGCCAGAGCAAAGATCATCTATTGAAAAAGATGAACCACTCGGTAGTGAAACTTTGGAGAAAAGTTGCCAGTTCCTCTGAATAAATGTTCTCCCTTTTGTAGTTGCAAAACAAACATTGAGAAATGTCAATGTGAGCCGAAGGTGAAACACTTTTTTTGGTGCATACTTTGTTTATTATTGATTATTCCGCAACAAACTTGATAAGTGTAGGTCCTTTTAAAGTGACAAAGCTTGTTGGTTACTTAGCTGGAGCTTATTAGCTTATTTCCATCTTGTGCTGCAGTGATGTTTCTGGTACATGAATATAGAGGATATGTAAGGGCTCTGTAGCGCCCTCAGCCCTTTCCATCTTTTACCTAACATCGCTAAGCACAGCCAGTTCTTCCAGCACCACAGTGAGGTGAGGAGCCAGGGCTTTCATACCCACTGACCCCCCCCCACACACACACACACACATCCCCCCTTTAGTACACCACCGCCACCCCCGTTCCAGTCACTACGTGTTCCCTGCTCTCCGGCGCTCCCCTGACAGCCTGCCAAGCTGCCGCACAGCCTCCCATCCTCTGGGACATGGGAGAGGATGGCCAGCCATGTGGAAAGAGAGAGAGAGAGAGAGAGAGAGAAAGAGAGAGAGAGAGAGAGCAGGAGGGTGAGGTGAGAAAGGAGGGGGGTGAAGAGTATAAGAGAGTGAGTAAGATAGAGAGAGTGGGCGTGAAGCGGTGAAGTGAAACGTGGTTATCTTTTTGTCACTTGTTCAGGGTGAGGGATGTTGAATTCAGGCTATGGGGTTCCAGCAGCGACATGTTATTCACACTAGCACACACACACACACACACACACACACACACACACACACACACACACACGCACACGCACACGCACACGCACACACACACACTGAAAAACTATTTTGTATGTCTTTAAGTGCTCATTTGCCCCTCCTTCAGGAAAGATTCAGAAACACTATCTCTCCCTCGCTGTCTCTTACTTCTCACGCCGGTCCACCTTGCCCTCTGTTTTTGCGAGTGTTAGGTCATGAATGATTGACAGGGCACAGCTGGAGAGGCCTGCCCCCCCTCCACACCCCCTCCCTTCTCTCCCTCTCTCCCCACGGCCACACTCACACAGGCCTCTTTGCTCACAAACACACACGCATCACACACTTTGATACACATTCTGTCCTCTGCGAGCCATTTTCACACACCAAGTGTGTGTGTGTGTGTGTGTGTGCTCTCTATCAGAGCATGTCAGTCAGGCTGCCTATACAGTATGTGCTCTCGCTCTGGCTCTCCCCACTGCTGTGTTTTATTTTAGAGTCCCCAGGCAGGCAGACAGGCCAGCAGGCAGCGCAGAGTAATGTCATCCAGCAGGGTTAGATTCAGCCTCCACATTAGTGCACGGGGGGGGGGGGGGGGGGGAAGAGGAGGCAGAGGGAGTCAAGAAAGCAAAGAATTGCAAGGGAATGATGGGTGAGAGAGGGGGGAGGAAACTTGTGGAAAGAAAAATATGTCCCTTATAGTGGTTTGGACATTCAGTTTAAATACAAAGATCACATACAAATGATTACACATATATCTTTAGAGAACACTCAAATTACGCATTAGCCGCCACACCAAGTTTTTTTCCATGTTGTTTTCTACTTCAAATATATATTTGGAGCATGTGGAGAGAGAAAAAGAAGGGTAGGTGGGGAGAGGGAGGCAGGGAGAAGAGATGTTCTCTGGACCCTGCTGCCTATTCTTAGAACCGACAGCACACTGAAGGCCACAGCAGCTCCAGCGCTACGAACACACTGCGGCTCTGAGAATAGGACAGCTAATCTGAAGCCAGTTTCACACTGTGGTGCAGGGGAAGCTCCTGGTCACACCAGTCTTAAACCTCAAGACGTATTCACTCAAATATGAGTAAAAATGATTGATTCACTCTCCCTTTATGTGTTGCTGGACCCTATGTGCTCCACAGGACTCCATAATGTACCATATCATTTGAGATTTCTGTATCAAACTTGCACTATTTCTCTACACACTCCTGAAATGTGCGACGAATATAATACGTGATTCACCTCCGGCCCGCTGCACTCCAGACCCAGATATCATGACACAGCGAGTCAGAGGACCCTGGCTTCATTTAAAATGCAGACGGACAATTTTTCCGCTTGTATGCCAGCCTGTTTTCATTTGCTCCTCATGAATCATTTAGCGCGCACACACTGTTTCATGTACACGCGTCGCTTTTATTCGAACCTCAAGAGCCCGGAACACGTGTTTTTGCCGGGGCCATACCATTTGTTCCCAACGGCCTGAAAACACAGACGTACAGGAAGGGGAACTGATCGGCGGTTTAACTTTCTCTGGGTCTTTCATCTGCACACATCTACGCCATTGTCTCTAGTCTGGATAATTCATCTGGGATTATATGTGCATTGGCAGCCATTTTGGTTATGATTAGGTCGTTTCTAAATATTTGGACTTTGTTTGTTCGTATTGTAGCAGCTTAAATGTCTTAAAGGTGGGG